CTCTGACTTGTCCAATTGTCGCCCTGACTGCTAATCGAAAATGCGATCTTGTTGTAAACTGTAAGCGGCCACGACAACTGATCTGTCTTCTTGTTGGTAGATCCTTTTGTGTATGCGCAATTTCGCTTGCAGCTTACGAACTGTTTAGTCTGTAATTGCAAGGGCAGCCGTCGAAGAGGGTAAAGAGTGGACAAAAGGTTCAATTTGCGGGATCTGGGTACGTCCGTTGAATGATTCATGACGTGGCTTTCATGCCTAGACGACCTTTCACTGTTTTGTCTCCGACTGGCTAAATCATAGTCGTTATCGTAAAGTGTGAGGTTATGTCTGCTACTTTATGTCCTACGCAGCCTGTTCTCCAGTTTCCTTCCGTTTGACTTCAGTACTAGCTCTGGTATTCAGCGCGGATTAAATGTCATTGATTGTACAAGGTCATGGTAGAGTGCTCGGTTGGTCCTTGTTGCTGATGACTGGTAGTCTGAAGTTAGTTACGGCATTCCTTTCGATGACTATCACTGTCCATATAGAGCCTAAACGATTCAGCATCTGGAGCCCAAATTTCGTGAACACGAAATGACCTTTCAATGAGGAGACAGGCTAGTTGCCATGACTGTTCACAGCCCACAACAAAATCGTAGTTTCGACTAGCCGTTGCGGCGGTCATTGAACGAATGAAGAAAAAGAGGCGATAGCGGTGTGGAGATCGGGTCATAAATTGCTTCACAGACGCATCCACCCCCCGAGCCCTGGCCTATCAAGCTTCCTGCAATCAGATTGAAGGACTCAAACTTTCCTCTTGATTGGTGACTTTCATCGCGTTCAAAGCAGCCAATCGCAGGAATGTAAGGGTGTATTCGATTGGACGGCCTCGACACTTATGCCATTTGCCCTCCTGCATGTCTCTGGCGCTCGACTCAAAACAACATGCAAAAACGCAGCACAGTGAACTCTTTTCCTTTGCGTTCGGCTCTTTTTATATTTTACTTTTGCCGGGCTTTCTGATTCGTGTGAGGGAGAATAATGATGACAACACGGAACCGAATTAATAGTATTTGCAGTGCTCCCAGGTGTGCCGGCTTTGCGTTTGCTTGACCGAGAACGAGGTTACACCATCTGGCGGAGAGGTCAAATCACACGGTTTTTGCGAAGCAGGTAAGTTTGCCGGTTTATGCCTTGTATCCAGAGGTTTTTATCGACAGGCATTGGCGAGACCTAAATCTGTGATAGTGCGTACTGCCACCTCAAGAATGTATCCTATGAATGGCAGCCATAGCCTCATAGCTTCGGTGGATTGCTCAATTCGGAGCCGTTCGGGCGAGTGCAAGGGCAGCCGTTTAGTTGTAGTCCTTCCATGCGATTGTTTTGTGTCTACTTCAGTTTGTGTTCTCCTTCCGGCAGTCTGTTTGGCAGAACTAACATTGGTAGCGCACCTTATATACGACTAGCCCTAACTTTCTGTCCTACGGGAACCGTGATAATGGGGCTTTTATGGGTGGGGATGCTGGATGGGCAATCAGCGAAAGTTTTAGAAATAAGTGCAAAAAGTCGTAAAATTTAGTGGAATTAGTTTAACTTCCGCCGCTCTATAGTGATGGAATAGAGTGCATTAATCGTAAAAAATATTCAAAAACGAGAGCACTGCAGAAATAAGCGGTATTTGAAAAACTGCCAACACCAGCCCAGCGTAGCCCTATCAAAAATCCCGGACTTGAAGGCGCTAGACTGGGCATCAGAATGTAAGCATATGCGTTAATTTTTAAATCAAATTAAAAAGGGAAAGTTAATTGAATCTATTTAGATTCACTAAACGGTAGCATTTATGCGGGAAGACTAGATAATTAATATGCGTTGTAATCAATGCACTAGTTAGGTAATTATTGGTGATTTGAAAAATAGACAATATCAGGTGCTTTATTCGTATCAATTGTAGGGCTATAACTAAAGCAAAAAGAATAAGAGAAACTCAAAGAGATTGTGTGACTTAGTCTGAGGAAATATCCAACTTTGTCCATTCGGGCGATATGATACGAACATGTCAATACCTAGGGCTGATAGAAACGCTTATAAAACATCGCTGTTGATGGTATTAAAGAAGCACTGCCGTGTCGTTGTATTAACTGACACAATATAGCCTGTGTGGAGGTATATACCGAAACTAAGATTTCTGTGTTGGGGTGCATTGTAATATGTATGGTGTGTGAGTCCTGTCGTAGCTAGGTTGAAGCAACCCGTCTATCACTTCTAACTCCATGTATGTATCGCTTCTACAACTGCCACCTTTTGTTAATTAAATGATAGGAGAGGATTTTATAGCCGCCTTGGCAAACCACTCAAGTTTGAAATCAATGGGGCGACATTTCTGAGAACCTTGAGAAAATAACAAACCGAATCAAGACAGGGGCTATTGCACTGAGTAAAGGCGACAATCTCTGAACAAATCAAAACTACGCCTACTGAAATGCATTTAGTAGGCATTATG